AATAATAGGTTACAGAATAAACTGGATCTAACCAAAAATTCAATGTTTCCTTCTTCCATACATTTAGTACTACCACAGTCATGACACTCATCTCTTGACAATATTATAGCAAGTAAAGCCTAAAACCAATGTATTTTATTAATAATTTTAAATAAGAATACAATTTACGAGTTTATATTTATTAAATTTAAAAAAAACACTTCTAATATTGTGTGTCTGGCATACATTTAGTATGGAAGCTGGAAACATTGAATTTTCAGATAGATCCAGTTTATTCTGTAACTTATTATTGGTACCGTTTGAAAGAGCTCATTAAGCACTTTCAGGATCAGTAACCAGTTTTTTAATATCTTGTATAGTTAAGAAATAATCGAGTGAGATCACTTAACGTTTCCACCCTGTATAGTCAATACACAATCGTTTTTCTCCAGTCTTCTTTTTGACTAAGACTATAGAGCTTGCGTATGGGGATGATGATTCGCGGACTATGTTAGCATCTAACATCTCCTGCACCATGTCTCTAACCAAAGTGCGCTCACTAAGTGGCATTCTATAGGGTCTATAAACGATAGGGTCAGTATCTGACAGTTGTATTTCCATCTCAGTAACAGATGTGAATCCCAAGTCTTTTAGACTGGTAGAAAAACAATCGGCATATTTGCACAAGAGGCTTTGGAGTTCACGCTTTTGTTCGTCATTGATCAAATTACCACAATTAAGATTATCGTCGTGTACGGGCAAATCTTTTGAGAGATTGAAAATTTCTTTCGTACTTGAAACAGGCATTGAGCGAGTTGTAAGTGAATTTGACATAAATTTTATTGTACTTGAAGCTACATTTTGAACTAGTAATTTACCCTTTCCCCTAATGAGTTCATATTCCCCTGGCAAGAGAAAATATTCGCTACCGGCTTTACCTCTGACGGAACCATGAACATATATTCTTCCGGAATAAAGTTCACTAGATATAACGGGAATCGCTTTGATCTCTTGTTGGGGAATGATAACAGTTTCTTGGATGGTAAGGCATATTTTTTTAGTACTAGCTGAATCTTCAAATATCAATTGAGAAGGAGTCTTAGTGATCATTATACAAGGATGTTCCGTGAAATTCTGACCTAGCAGGACGGGTTGTTTTATTGCGTCATCTCCTACGACATACATTTCAATCAGCAGCGTAATACCTTGGACATTTACGTTTGCCATTATACAAGAAATTGCTTGGATGCAATTATTCCCTATACCTCTTAGTAGTGGTAAATTTTTAGTACATTGTTGAGCACCTAGTTGTAATGCATCAGTATATCGGATAAGAGAACATTCGCTGCCTAGATCTACATAACATTCTAATGGTTTGTGATCTACTTCAACCGTCATGTAATATTTATTTTTACTACTCTCATCAATTGATTCTTTATTCGAAGGAGAAGCATCTCTCACATCATCAGTTATTTCATTTGTTGGTTGGTCGCTCACACAAACCCTTAGAACTTGTTTTTCTTTCGAATTGAATTGATCATTATTTTTAGATTTATCTGATTTTACATTTGGGCAAGATGTGATTCTATGACCAATCATATGACAATTGGTACACTTTTCTATGGGTTTCTTACAAAGAAAACTCGGGTGGCCCTCCATCCCACAGTTAAAGCACTTAATAGGGGGTTTGCTTGTACCGGCGTTATTCCTACTTGATGTTGATGTGTTACTAGCAGTCTGTCGTTTATCAAATCGAGCCCTACTGGAGTTTGAAATACTTTCTTTAGAATTACCGACTTTTACAGTCTTCAAATACTTAAGAACCTGCTCAGGGAAATCAAATTGCGCGGCCTGTGCACCTAGGCGTATGCCTCTATCTTCTATGCCATGTAAAATACAATCAACGGCTTGCCTACCTTTAATTTGACAACGATTTAATAAGTTCAATTTTGAATAGAAGTATTGTTCTAACGGTTCCCCAAACCGTGCTTTTAGGGCTAACATATCCGATAGTAATTCCGCATAATTTTCGCGACAAGGAAACGATTCTATCAACCTAGTCTTCCATTCAGCCCATGTGAAACGTACGCTGGGCAAACTCTGATACCACGATTTCGCTAGACCGCTTAATTTGGGCAAAGCGTAGTGTATGATCTCGCGTTCGTCCCAGTTATAAATATCCGCGCATTCTTCAACCTTGGTCAACCAATTAACAATATTTTGAGTTTTTGATAGGGGATCAAATTCAGGCACTACGTTATTGCTGGCAGTAATCTTATGGCTACCTGATTTAGCGATATCTTTGAGAGCATTTACAAACTGACTGAGTATGTTATCTGAAGCATGCGATAAATTTAAAGAATTATCATACCTAGTACGGCGTACAGGTGGCGGAGAATCTTCTCGTCTGGTGTAAGAGCTGCGATGTCTTCTAGGTATTTCAGGTTCAGGTGTGCGGCTTCTTAAGCGTTTCTTCCTTGTTTCCTCTAACAACGAATTTTGTCGCGTTAGCAGCGGGTAGTCGTGCGCACGAGTGGCTCCGCGTAAAGCGTCGTAGACCTCCTGCCCGACTGCTACCCTCACGCGCCTCGATTCGCCGCGACGCTGCGACTGACTCCGCGCAAGCGTTGAGTCCCGCGCCGCGAAGAGCTATCTCGCTCTCGCACAATTGGTTACCACCTACCCNGTTGAATGTTGCCGGGGGCTTATTATTTGAACGATCATTTCAAATTACGTCAAACGTCAAAGAATTTTTTTTGGGTCGTTCTTTCCCATGAAGCTAAAGATAAAAATGGAGGCCACACTTGGCACAAAAACTTGAGTCAAATACCTACTCATCTCTATCTCGCTCTCTGTGGGCCGACCTCTCTTTTTATTGTGGACTGTAGTAATTGCTATCTCCTTATTTAAGTCTCCTAGTAAATTCTTTGAAATAGCCAATTCACTATCCAAAACAGAAGTTAAACAAATATATAATTAAATATTTGAACTACGATTACCTACTTAAATTAAAAATCACAAAATTGTCGGCCGTTTAGGCTTAATGTGTTGGCGAATCAGGGAATTACAATCCCAATTCCTGGGGAATCGGTTCCATGTGGCAACATCGGCCCAATCCGGCCCATCATGGCGGTTGTTTACCAAACTCAATCCTCCTCGAGTTTTTGTCGCGTTAGCAGCGGGTAGTCGTGCGCAAGAGTGGCTCCGCGTAAAGCGTTGTAGACCTCCTGCCCGACTGCTACCCTCACGCGCCTCGATTCGCCGCGACGCTGCGACTGACTCCGCGCAAGCGTTGAGTTTGAGTCCCGCGCTGCGAAGAGCTATCTCGCTCTCGCACAGTTATTTGCCACCTACCCGCGATAAGACGCTTTTGTGTGTGAATTGTGCCAGTGCGTATCAGAATACCCGCGAAAGTGGATATTCGCCTCGAGCAGTGCCGCCCATCGAACTTTTCACCACCTACCCCCAAGCCCAACACACCAACAATGTCGGACGACGACGAATACTCGTACGAGTCGATCGCTCCGAGCCACGCAGCATACCGGCCTATCGGAAGGCCCACCCAAGCGCACTCCAGCGCCCACACCTCCGCCGCCACCGCTCGCGGCCAACCCAGGCAGGCGAATGCCGCCGAGCCCCGCCCGGGGCCTGCCGCGGGAATCCAGGGAGATTGCCTAGGCCCGCTCCCGGGAGGCCGAGCCGGCCACCGCCGACCCAGAGGCTACCGGAACTCCTCGGAGGACGACGTGACGTCCGAGGAAAAGCGGCTCAGAGCCGGACCGTCACCGCCGCAACGGGCCTCCACGCCAGCCCCCCGGATATCTCCAGTGGAGAGGTATGTGCAGCCCCCTCGCTCACCAACCGCCTCCCCGGTGAGAGCCGACACCTCGCGCTCCACCCCGCACTCCGTCTCGCGCACCCCATCCAGGGGCAGCTCTCCGAGGCCGATCGAGGGTAGGAGCGACGTCTATTACCCGCCTACACACCGAACAAACTCCACAACGCCGACGTCGTACGAGGCGTTGCAGAGCCCGCAGCGGTCATACGCCGCCACCAGCACCGCTCCCTCCTCACCCCCGCCGCAACGGGACCCGGAGGTCGTGCAGATTGAAGCGGCCCCTGCGCTCCACCGAACCACCGAGCAGCACCAGCGCTCCTACCCGCCCATAGTAGTCGAGAGCCTGAGGAACTGGCCTCACCACTTCCGGAGCTTGCACGACAAACTGGGCCATGCACCGAACGCGCGCCCCTACAAGACCGGCGTGCGTTTTATCGCGCGCACGCCCGAGGAATATCGGGTGGTGCAGCGCCACCTGACGGAGGCAGCTGAGAGCGACCCGGGCCTCCACTGGTTCAGCTACTCGCTGCCCTCCGAACTGCCCACCAAAGTGGCCATCAGAGGGCTCCCGGCGGCCACAGACCCCGCCGAAATAAAGCACGCCCTAGAAGAGCTGGGCTTCGAGGCCCAACACGTCCGCCCGATCCCACCGAAGCGAGGCCGCTCCGGCTGCCTGTACCACGCGCAGCTGGCGCGCCTCAACCGGCAGGAGCTCTCCCGCTTGTACGCGGTGACCGAGCTCCTGCACATGCCAGGAGTCGTCATCGAGGCCTGGCGCGGCCGCAGCGGGCCGGCGCAATGCCACCGCTGCCAGGCGTTCGGCCACTCGTCCGCCGGATGCCACCGCCCGCCTCGATGCGTGCGATGCGGGGAAGGGCACATCATTGCGGAGTGCCCCCACCCCCGCGACCGACCACCGCGCTGCGCCAACTGCGGCAGCGCGCACCCCGCCAACGACCGGCGCTGCCCCGTCTTCCGACGGGAGGCCCGCGCCCGAGGAGAGCGAGTACCTCCTCCCTACCCGGACCGACCCGGCCCAGAGCAGGCGGGCACCCGCCCGCCGCCCAAGGCCCACCGCCCCCCGGGCCCCGAGGCGCCAGGCGTCGCCCAGACGCCGGCCCCTCCCGCCTGCGGCCAGGAAGGCCGCACGGCCCCACCACCCGAGCGCCCTGCCGGCCGTCGCAGGCGCAGGCGCCGAGCCAGGCGCGGCACGAGCGCGGACGGGCCGGGCGACGCAAAAAGTTCGGTTTTATCGCGTTCGTTGAGTGTAGTCGTGTGCAGCAGTGTGGCTCCGCGGAAGCGTCGTAGACCCTCTGCCCGACTACTACCCGCGCGCGAGCCGTTCCGCCGCGATACCCTCCGCCACCTTCGCCCGAGCCACCCAGTCGCGCCGCAGTTCGTCTCCGCAGAAGCGTCGAGACCCGTCGCCGCGCCCTCCAGCTCGGTGCGAAGCAGCACCACCGCGTCGCGCGCCCGTCTCCGCCGTAGGCGTCGAGAGTCCCGCCGTCGCGAGTGCGTGTGCGAGTGTCGAGAGCGATATCGCTATCTCTCTCTCCCGCGAATTGGACGCATCTACCCGCGACAGAGACGCTTTTTGTGTTGTGCCGTGAAAATATTGCGCATAGTGAGGGTAGACTGACATCGTAGAGTACCCACCGAATATTTGCGAAAATATCACGGAGGTACTCGAACATCGCGACTACCCTCACTGGAACTTGTTCTTCGTCGACCCGCGAATATCGCGATATACCGACATCCTGCAGTCCTGCATAATGTCGGACGGCGAGGAAGTGCCGCCCCCACAACGCCAGCCGGCGTACAGGCCTCTTGCGAGGCCCGCTCAGCCCGCCGCCGCCGCCACGAGCGGCCAGCCGAGGCAGCGCCCGGCCGCGCCCAGCCGCGAGCCGACCGCAGCGACCCAGCAAGGGCCCCCCGCCCCCCTCCCCGGCCGCGACAGCCACCGCCGCCCCAGACACCACCCGGACTCCTCAGAGGGATCGCTCTCCGAGGAGAAGAGACCCAGAGTCGGGCCCTCGCCGAAGCAGAGGGCATCGACACCGGAGCCACAGATATCGCCCATAGAGAGGTATGTCCCGGGTTACCGCGGGGAAAACACCCTGCGGACCCCTACCGCATCCCCGGTCGGGTCCGCCTCAGCGCCCGCATCACCATCCGCCCACGGCTCCTCGGCCCGTTTCTCCTCGGAGGGCCGATCAGGCACGACAGCCGAAGGCAGCCAGCCGAGTGGGACGCTGGCCCCCCAGTTGGTCTCCGACGAGGACTANAAATACAATTTACGAGTTTATTTTAAGTTTATTATTAAATAAAAAAAAATACACTTCTAATATTGTGTGGCTGGCATACATTTAGTATGGAAGCTGGAAACATTGAATTTTCAGATAGATCCAGTTTATTCTGTACCCTATTATTGGTACCGTTTGAAAGATCTCATGAAGCACTTTCAGGATCAGTAACCAGTTTTTCAATATCTTGTATAGTTTAGAAATAATCGAGTGAGATCACTTAACGTTTCCACCCTGTATAAAGTTTAATAACGAGGGTTCATGCGTGCGAGTGCTACTACTAACCACTAGATTTTGTCCTATAGATACCATTCCATACAGTTCCAGAGAGTAGCCCTGGCAAAAATGCAGGTAGGATCAAGACAATCTTAGGTTAGATCGTTATAGCAAGGAAAAGGTAAGGTAGATAAAGGTTAATAACGAGGATTCATGCGTGTGAGTGCTACTACTAACCACTAGTTTTTGTCCTATAGATACCATTCCATACAATTCCAGAGAGTAGCCCTGGCAAAAATGCAAGTAGGATCAGGACAATCTTAGGTTAGATCGTTATAGCAAGGAAAAGGTAAGGTAGATAAAGGTTAATAACGAAAAAAAAATCATGCATATAACTTTGTAAGTACTTACATGGGCGTGGAACGAAAGTTTTATTCTTGTAAACTCTCGGTATCCCACTTTTGAAGTTGTTCGAATCAAACAACTTCAGTGGGCAAATTCATCGTTTATTATCACAATCACATTGAGAATTAAATGGCACAAACTTACAAAATTATTAATATTATAAATTATAAATAGGTACAGATGGCAAAATAAGTTCGACAAGAAGTTCGTCTTAGACGTCTGTTCTGTTCGACGGTGCACAACCGAATATCTGCGCCACGGTCTCGCTGCTATCAAATGCTCTCCCCTCCCAGCCACAACAACGTCATCGGTGGGGCACTAACAGCGAGATTGTGGCGCCACAATCAAATTAAATACTTTTACATTAATTTACACTATTTTACATTATTTTACACAAATAGTTAAACGATAATTTATCAAATATAATATTTATCACAAATAATCATAATGTCAGTAATGATTTTAACATATGTAATTCAAAAATCTGCCAAAACAGCGGCTTTCAGTGTTATCATCACAGAATAATAATAATGTATTACTTAGCTACCTATCTTAGGCTATTTTTATTGCAACATTTCAAGTAGGTAATTAGAATTGTAATTGAACGCAGGGAAAAGGACGAAAACAGTAATTTATTAATTACGTAATACGTCACGTTGTATTTCTGTGAGTTTTTAACACTAGTTAATAATAATACCTACTGTGTAACTCCAATTGAGATCACGCGTCGTTCGTAGTTCGTGAATTTAAGATCCGCCATAACAGCTGAGTGGTGCGAACAGTTTTAGATGGTGGTTTTAGTAGGCGCTTAGGTAAAATAATAAAAACAATTCAACTTTCCCTTCATACTTACCCGGGCTTAGGATCGGCCTTAGGACCGGCAAAATTCAATGCTTTGATAAGCACCCTGCATCGTGCTGAAGTGTGGCTGTCCCGGTACAGTCGCAAAACTGCACTACACAATTTCTCCGGCCAAGAATAATAATGCACGTATCATTAACACGTATTCACGTGAGGTGAATTGGTAAGACAACGTAATAATTGCACGACACTATTGACTTGATTGATACAATGTTAACAAGACAGTTCACGACCGATCAAGAGCTCGCGCGCGCGCAACTGACCGACCGCGGCCGGCGGCCGTTCAGAACTTGAATATTCAACTGCAATGTCTGCTCATGAACGCTTCAAACTCGGTACTTCTTTCACAATTCCATAAAATTCAACACTTAGAAAGTGACAAAAAACTTTAAAATAGGTAGTTGAAACAAACCACAGCTAATTTTCATAGTGGACTGTACTATACGATAAACATGTCAGTCAATTTGACAACCTTTGTTGGAAACATTATTCAATGAAAATATTGTCCGAACCCTTAGTATTTCTCTTCGACAAATACTTTAACACATTGTGAACCACTTTTCTTTCATGACTATAAAAAGATTTTAGCAATTTCATTCACAAAATCAATTGCGCACATTTAAAATAAAGTTTGTTTACACTTTGACAGCAATAGACTGACATGCAAGGTGACATGTCAATGAAGTTTTTAGTTATTGTTGCCATTAAAAGAAATTAGTACCATTAGTTTTCCGCAACATGGCGAGGGTTTTTATGTTCCTGGTCAGGCTATACTAATTTCTTTTAATGGCAACAGTAACTGAAAACTTCATTGACATGTCACCTTGCATGTCATTAATTAAACTGTCTATTGCTGTCAAAGTGTAAACAAACTTTATTTTAAATGTGTGCAAGTTGTCCTTTATATTTTTTGTTTATTTAGAAAGAGAGAGTCTGCCCACAGAGACCGAGATAGTGATACATAGGTTGTGCTTCAAGTAGGTATTCGGAGTGTGGCCTCCATTTTTACATATAGCCCGTGATATAGCTTCATGGGGATTACCCACTAGAACTTTCAAATCTTGGTCGGATCCGGATCATAACTGCGAAAATAGCGGCAAATTCAAACAAGATACCATCATCCCTACACACTCATCTTGCGTTATTATTTTCGGGACAATACGAAAGTGTCGGCTCCTTACAGTAAAAAGATTACCGTATCGAAACGATAATTATTCGTGCTCTGGGTACTGAAATTGTTTTCGACTTGTAATAGCAGCTTGTACTTTTTGAATTGGAACATGAGGAAAGGAATGATTAGAGCACCGGGATAATAAATAAAAAGGCTTTTGTAAAAAAACAATTCCATTTATTTCGTGTCAGAATTTGTTACTGTACCTTTGTGCTTCTAAATTGCCTTCTTTGTTCATTACCAATGTTTTTAGACGTTTATTTCCGTAACCTTTTCGGTTTGTAGCACGTAAACCTATTTTAACTACCTCTTGTAGAGGTAGTTTCGTATGATTTCTCACATGCCGTAAGATACGGATTGTAATGTGATAAATGAATTGAAAAGTAAATCCATCTGGGAGCTGGGCCACGACATCCTTCCATCTTATATCAGTCCAAACCTTATATGGCGAATTGCGCAATCTAGAAGCAAGATGTGTTAACATATTATTTTATTGATCAAAGATGATAACGAAAACACACCACACTTAAGGAAGAACTTTTGAAAGGATATTTCATTGTTAAATATCAAAATAATTTAAAAAATATTTAACTGGGAGAAATTTTCAATAAAGTCATAGAATAATAATATAAAGTTAAGATCTATGTAATTTAGCTGGCAATTTTCACTGCAGACCCACGATACCCCTGGTGGTATCGTGGGTCTCGTTAAAGAACTACACTTCAGACCCACGATNCGTATGTATTAGGGTGGGTCAAAAAATTTTTTTTTCGTTTTTTAAAAAGGCTCAGCGATAAAAAGGTGCTAAATGGTTTACTTAATTTATATGTAAAATTATATTTCATTATTTTAAGTTTAACTGCCTCCGGATTCTAAAAAAAAATTTTTGAAAAAGCTTAAATTTGACTATATTTTTCCGACACTGACACTGTCCGGTTTCGTACTGTACGAATAGTTTTTATCACTACAAATAAAGGAAGACGTTTGCTTGGCTTAATTCAAGGTCACGGGTAAGGAGGGGGGCGGGGCGGAGTTACAAGTGACGCTTAATTGACCTGTGAAACAACAGTGTCGCACGTTGCGTTCTAGAGTGCAGTCATTTTTTTGCCCATTATTGTAAGAATGGAACGTACGCGAAATAGTTGGAAGTGTCCCTTGTTTGGTGATCTATGTGATTTAAAAGACAATATTTTGCCAAGCTATGAAGATGTGATGAAGTTTTATGAGTGGACCAGACACAAGTTAAAACATGAGAGGGAAACTAAAAAGGAGCCAACGTATAAAGAAATCGAGGCCATCGTAGTTCCAAAATTGATAGAAATATGGGTGAGATCTTCTATTCCTATTGTAGAACCAAAACGTGTAAAGGTAATGTTACAAACATATCATTTAAAGTGCAAAAACTTGCTTAAATCTCACCCAATAATACCCGAAAACAAGTTGAAGGAGTTTCGTCTTGGAAGTAAAGTGCTATTTGTCCTAAAAACAAAAAAATACCTCTAAGAGAACACAACTTCATAACAGATCAACGAACAGCTAGGCAAATGGTGATAGGTGGCATTGACGTTTGTACTATCGGGGACTCTTCCACCTGACCACTTTGTAGAAATTTTAGCGTAAGCGCATCGCTCCGGTCACGTGCTCACCGCGTCTCTAATTGGTTACGCATTTTACTATATTTTTACTACGACCAATAAGAGACAATCAGGGCTTAGGTTGCAATACGAAATACCATTGTGCACTTTATTGTCATACGGTTAAGGTTTAAAACGAAATGTTTCTTTTTCTTCAATCTTTCTTAGTTTTAGGCTGAGTTGCACCACCTAACTTTGACCGTAACTATAACGGTAACCGGTGCTTTTTGTATGGAGTTTGACAGAATTTTGACGTTTGTTAAAGTTAAAGTAAGATGGTGCAACTCAGCCTTAGAATTTTAATAATAGAATTTGGTTACAAACAAATAGATATGTATTTTTTTTAATATTGTGTTTTTATACGAGGTCTGTCTGCTTTTTGCTTTGGCGATCTGTCGACATATTCTCTCCTTTGTTTTTTGTGAAGTTTTGTGATCCCTAACCGATTGATTTTGTTTTGTGTTGACCCGTGCTAGTAATTGGACTGTTTGATTGCCTTTTTATTGACCTCCGCTCGATTACTGAACCATGCCTCTCAAAATAATTCTTATATTTACTTACAAACTTATCTATACATTGTTAACTGTTTAAGTATTATTTAGTTTGAAGTTTAATTGTTATTGATTTAAGACCTTGTGTAAAGACACTTAATGTGCAATAAAAAATTGAATTTGAAATAAAACTAACTTAATATTATAATATTTACGATAACCAATTACCTGGATCATTGCTACCTAGTGCAATATTTATATTAAATTTTAATAACGTAGATAAGTGTTTCTTTAAAACGGAAAACAAAATATGCATTAAAAATAAATAGAAACCTATTATAAGTTTTTATTTACATTCAAGGATTTAAGAAAGTTATAGCCAGATCTTACAATAATTGTTTTTAAGCCACAAATATTCCTTAACTCTTTACTAATTAATTCAATAACATATTGTTTTAAATTATAAGTTCCGAATAAATTAAATACCTATTAAATAAGTAAAATTCGAAAGTAACTGTATGATTTTGTATTTCTCGCCCTAACTAGCTAAACTAATATCATGAGATTTACACTCATAATATCAACAATAATTGTAGAAAGGGCTACTTTTTTCTCGGGAAATTGCATAGTTACCTCGGAATGTGCGATAGCAATTTTGTGACCCGAGCGGGCAATCGCTAGTTCAAATTTTACACGAAGCCTCATATAATATTTTGTAGCGATTCTTTATTGGGTTTCAAATTGACTAAAATGCGACGTTGCCAAACGAGCGCTACGGATGCGGGTAATAAGCAATACTCAATCCTAATTGCTTTACATAGAGCTTGGTTTGCTAGGGCAAACATCTACAGTGGTGCGCCGACGCTGCTTAGACCCGAAATATGAATGAACGGGGGAGGAGCATAATCGAGCGTGTGTGTGCAAACAATTTAGGCCCTTAAGGTGTCAAGGCGTTCGAGTCCCCGATAGTACAACTAAACAGATTACAAGATCACTAAAAAGAAAGCTATTACGAGAAAAATCTGCAAGCAACCAACCAAAAGTAACCAAAGTATGTACGGAAAAGTTGTGTAGCTCTTCTGGATCGGAATGCACCCAGTCGGATTGCGATGAACCTATCCAAATTCAGTCGCGAGCTTCAAGTATTAATTCCGAGAGTACGAGCATCAAAACTGCAGTAGATTATGCTTTACTTTCAAAAACTTGCGATAGGTTTGGTGTGTCAGACAGGGCAGGAGCAGCTATCGCATCTGTAGTTCTGCATGCGTAGACTTCACAAGTAATAGACAAAAATAAGCTGCGCCGATAAAGGAAAAAAACTAGAGAAATCATAACTTTACAACAAAACGTGTCACTAGTACCGGCATTGTACTTCGATGGAAGAAAAGACCAAACCTCGACTATATCTGAGAGTGACGGAAAAAGGTATAGGCGACGCATACTTGAAGAACATATTTCTTTGATTAAAGAACCTGACTCGAAGTTTTTAGGTTACATTACACCTGCTTCAGGCACTGCAAAGTGTATAGAACAAGAAATATTTAACTATTTCATGAATAAGGATATATCGATGGATGCGATGGTTTGATTGCAATCGGATGTGACGGCACCAACGTAAATGTTGGTAAGTACGGCGGTATCATACGGATATTAGAAAAAAGACTGGATCGACCCTTGCAGTGGATTATTTGCCTTTTGCATATGAATGAACTCCCGTTTAGACACTTGTTTGAACACATCGATGGCACTACGTCTGGACCACGGACTTTTTCAGGAAGCATTGGCAAAGAGCTTGAAAATTGTGAAAAACGACCTATAGTCCATTTTCAACCTATTCCAACGGATTTACCACAACTTTCCGCTGAAGATATTAGCACAGACCAGAAATACTTGTACAAAATAGTTGAAGCAGTTTCTACAGGCACCTTTCCTAACGATTTAGCGAACAAATCGCCAGGCAAAATGTCCCATGCCCAATGGCTAACTCGTGCCAACAGGATTCTCCGTTTGTATGTTTCAGTGGAAACTCCTTCTGAAAATCTCATCTTTCTGGCAACATACATTGTCAGAGTTTACGCTCCAGTATGGTTTGCTATAAAAACTCACCCTAGCAGTAAAGATGGACCTCGACACTTGTTTAAGCTCATCGAGCTCACCAGATATTTACCGAAAGCTTTGAAAAATATTGTTGACCCAGTTATTCAAAGAAATGCTTATTTCGCACATCCAGAAAACTTATTACTTGCAATGTTGACTGATTTCCAGCCGCACATACGTGAATTAGCTGCTCGTCGAATTTTGAAAGCTAGATCAGCAAAACCTCAAAGATTGCGTCTGTTTCAGTTGCCAGAGGTGAACTTTAATGCGTCAACGTATTATGACCTTTTAGATTGGCAAGAAAATATCACTGAGCCGCCAATTTTAAAGTCTGTAACAGAAGAAAATCTGCGATTATTTGTTGCACAAAAAGGAGAAGGCGAATTAAATTTATTACGCCTCCCTTGTCACACACAAGCAGTAGAGAGAGCAGTTAAAGCAGTGACTGAAGCTTCTGCTACTTTAAGTAATAGAACAGCAAGTGAAGGATTCATCAAAGCCCAGATAGATTCGAGAAAATCAATGCCGAAATTCGACAGCAAAAAGGATTTTTGCCCCTAATTAAGCTTCGATGATGACCGTACTGTAATGATTATTTTTGATTTGATCTGCAGTTATACTTATTTGACACGTTAATTCACCTTTAATAAACACAATTACTATTGATTTAAGACTTTTATTTATAAATAGCGTCGATCAGTATAACTGTTTCTGCCATATCATTAGGACCTTTCAAACCACATTTTCTTGAATTTTCACGTGAAACCGGAGGCAGAAGATTAATTCCGAATACCATCAAAATTCATAGTCTGTTTACAATTATGATTTGGCACCTTTTTATCACTGTGCCTGAAAAAAAACTAACATTTTTTTTTTCTCCATACTGATGTGACCCACCCTAGTATGTATGTGGTCTATGGTACTAAAGCCTTTTCGGAAACCGGCTTGTTCGGGCTCATCATCATATCTACGGCGATCTTGTGTGCTCAGAGAGTGTTGCTCAAGCTCACCACTCCTGAATCTTGACACTGAGCGTCGCTCTAGCTCATCGCTCAAGTGTCTAGATCATCATCTATGTGCCTAGGACACGAAGGGTGTTCCACTTCAATAACCGCGCTATTTGACCGCGAGCGTCGCTCTAGCTCACCGCTCGTGGGTCGAGATCGCGGACGTTCTCCATCTCTATCCGTGAATCTCGATTGAGAACTTCTCTCATTTTGATCTCTTAAAAGCTGTCGTCGAAGGGTCAGTTCATCATCATCGTTGACCAGGATTCTCCCATGATCATCATTCTCCTCCATTCTGAAACTCGAAAACAAGGAGTTAACAATAATTCAAGGGCTATCTTTTCTTTCGAAGGATAGTTAGTTATTCAGTAAATCTATTCATCAAGCCTTATCAGATTCAGCTGATACTAGAATAAGGAAAACTTGGGAGTAACAAAAAAAAATAGATTCATGAACAAAAAAAAAATAGATTCATGAAGAGGGGAAAAAAGAGGGAAGAAATGAAAAAAAAATAAGTCGTGCATTACTACGAACAACTGGCATTGATCCTATTTATAAAGCTACCGTACAGTTCCGGAGAGTAGCCCCGGAAAAATGTAGGTAGGTTCAGGTCAATCTTGTTGCCGAAGTTAGATAGTAAAGCAAGAAAAAGTTTAGGTAGACGAATGTAAATAATAAGGAGTCATGAGTGCGAATGCTACACTACCACTAGCTTTTGTCCTATAGATACCATTCCATACAGTTCCAGAGAGTAGCCCTGGCAAAAGTGCAGGTAGGATCAGGACAATCTTAGGTTAGATCGTTATAGCAAGGAAAAGGTAAGGTAGATAAAGTTTAATAACGAGGGTTCATGCGTGCGAGTGCTACTACTAACCACTAGATTTTGTCCTATAGATACCATTCCATACAGTTCCAGAGAGTAGCCCTGGCAAAAATGCAGGTAGGATCAAGACAATCTTAGGTTAGATCGTTATAGCAAGGAAAAGGTAAGGTAGATAAAGGTTAATAACGAGGATTCATGCGTGTGAGTACTACTACTAACCACTAGTTTTTGTCCTATAGATACCATTCCATACAGTTCCAGAGAGTAGCCCTGGCAAAAATGCAGGTAGGATCAGGACAATCTTAGGTTAGATCGTTTTAGCAAGGAAAAGGTAAGGTATACAGGATGGAAACGATAAGTGATCTCACTCGATTATTTCTAAACTATACAAGATATCAACAAACTAGTTACTGATCCTGAAAGTGCTTCATGAGCTCTATCAAACGGTATTAATAATAGGTTACAGAATAAACTGGATCTATCCGAAAATTAAATGTTTCCAGCTTCCATACATTTGGTACGGTCACATTATTTTAAAAACTACACATGATATCGTAAAACTGATTACTGATTCTAAAAGTGCTTCACAAGCTCTATCCAATGGTATCAATAATAGGTTACAAAATAAACTGTATCTATCCAAAAATTCAATGTTTCTTTCTTCCATACATTTAGTACTACCACAGTCATAACACTCATCTCTTGACAATATTATAGCAAGTAAAGCCTAAAACCAATGTTTTCCATGAATAATTTTAATTAAGAATATGTAGGAAGTGAGTCGGTCATGATGAATGAATAAGGCAGAGATATCAAGATAATAGCTATTTTTTATTAATTATAAGAAAAGCAATTTAACAAATGGTAGTGATTCAGTAACTTAANGATTTAAGACTTTTATTTATAAATAGCGTTGATCAGTATAACTGTTTCTGCCATATCATTAGGACCTTTCAAACCACATTTTCTTGAATTTTCACGTGAAACCGGAGGCAGAAGATTAATTCCGAATACGATCAAAATTCATAGTCTGTTCCCTCATCATAAACTAGGGAAAGAAGCTAAGAAAGTTTTAAACGCTGTTAAATATATAAAAAATGTAAAAGTAGGTGACAAAATCTGATTGGTTGAGACAGTAGTGCCGTCTGTGACAAAGCTTATTAAAACTATAGAAGGCATGGAAAATATTTGGGAAGTTTTATCTGGCAAATATAAATTTGATTTAATGCTATCAAGGAATTTTAATCAGGACCCTTTAGAAAATTTCTTTGGAAACATTAGGAGTTATGGGGCAAGAAATATTGCACCAAATACTGTAGAATTTGAAGGGGCATTTCAATCTTTGTTATTAAACAATTATAGCTCTCCACAATTGAACTAAAGCTAATTGCGAAGATGATGCTCATGAATGCCTCCAAAACTTGGTTTTTTTTCGATCTCCTAATGTTTCCAAAGAAACTGATATTATTCATTTTAATAACGAGATATGCATGGAACAGAGACATGAAAGCGACGCTGGTCAAAGCAATTATGTATGTGGATGGGTCCTGAAAAAATGTTTTAAAAATATTATTAAAGGCTGTATTAAATGTAAATCTCAATAATTGTCAGATGAAACACCAAATGTAAATAATGCTTATATCAAAGCAAAAGAATATAGTAATAAGAAATGGTTGTGCTATCCAAATAAGGTCATCGAACAATATTTGTTAATGATAATAATGTCAGGTACAGACAGAGCCAGGTTAGTTGCTAAGGGCTTCATCCAAAGTCCAGGCATTGATTATGATTAATGTTTTTTACCTGTTGTTACACATTCCACTTTGAAATAGTTTTGAATTGTTGTTCGCTTGAGCAGTCCAGCTTAATTTGGATATTTGTCATTTACATGTTGACACTGCTTTTCTGAATGGTTTTTTAAATGAAAATGTGTACATGATGAAACCACCAGATTTTCAAGGTAGCGATAATGATGTAAATAAAGTTTTGCGATTGAAACGTGCCATTTATGGATTGAAACAGTCATCAAGGGCATGGTACCAACGAGTTGATTAATTGTTGCAATCCATGGGTTATGCAAAATCAAAAGTAGAAGATATTAAAAAAGCTGAAGATATTAGCACAGACCAGAAATACTTGTACAAAATAGTTGAAGCAGTTTCTACAGGCACCTTTCCTAACGATTTAGCGAACAAATCGCTAGGCAAAATGTCCCATGCCCGATGGCTAACTCGTGCCAACAGGATTCTCCGTTTGTATTAGTACGAGAGCCCACGACCAAAACCATGTGTCATAGCAATACGGCAAAAACCCTATAAAATCGTTAGATTGTATGATTCTGAACCCGACTAGATGTGTAGTAACGGTCGAAAGTGTAGCAACTGAGTGGGAGGCCATTTCTGCTGTGTCAAAAAAAAAAGACAGTCGGTATTATAGCAATACGTCTGATAGTGAAAATGTACATAGATTTTATAATTGTATTACGAAAAAGTTTGTTTTCAGACATTTTGCGCGTAGCATATAGCATGTGCGCATTTTTGAAAATGTCAACAAATTTAGCCGACCTGTAACTGTATCATAGCAATACGGATAATTATTTTTTTTAACTTTTCGTATTGCTGCCATGATTACCAAAAACCTGTTTTCAGACACTTTAAGTGTATCAAAAAGTTGTATGATAGAGAAGGTGCTACACTTAATTTGTCTGATATAAATTTTTTGCACATGTGGACAACTTATTTTATCATGTCCAACAATTTTCAGACATATTGCTATGNGGAGGCGAAAGCAGGATAATTATGTAACGGAAGAGTTTACAATCATATCAAATAATATTTGCTACTAACAATATTACAAATATATGAGATTTCACCAGTACATCATCCTGAAATTGAATTGTATGTATCTCAGTGGCTACCGGGCGTATCCACTGTAGGGCTTGAATACCGGAATTCCGGAATTTCGTAACTCCGGAATTTCGGATAGATTTTTCCGATATTTCAATTCCGGAACTGAAGCCAATATCGTATTCCGATATTGAAATTTTTCATAAATTGTTTTAAGTTTTCAAAACGTTTAAGTATCAAAATATGTCCTTAGAAGGAAGTCCTTGAGATATGTATTCGCAACTTTAGTACTAATAATAATATTAAAGAGGCAATAGAGCGGAACCAAAGCTCCAAAATGTTCACTAGAGACAACTCTAATGGGCGAAGCTAGCTGAAGACAGCGGATGATAGTGTAAATTCAACAAAAGCTGAGGGTTCTAGGTGGGATCGAAAAAATGTTATGGACAGCTATATTATACCTCGGTCACCAAACCTGTTAATAGCTCAGCCACAAGATAGTTCCAAGAGCTAAGCTAACTCGACACTATATCGAAGATATCCCGACCCGGACATCAGCCTTTACGAGATAAGGATGGCTCTCAAACAGCTAAAGAACAACAAGGCACCGGGTGATGACGGAATAACCTCGGAGCTTCTGAACGCGGCTGGTGATAAGCCGATACTGAAAGTCCTTCAGAGACTGTAACTCCGTCTTACTCCAGGGAATAATGCCAGAGGCACGGAACAAAGACTTGGTGGTGTTTTTATTTAAGAAAGAGGTAAAAGCATTATTAAGGAATTACAGACCCATCTGGGTTCTGACTCTGAGTCATGTCTATAAGCTGTTTTTGAGATCCATCACTAATGATCACGCGCGTATGTTCGATGACTTATAGTCTCTCGAGGAAGCCAGTTATCGAAAAGTTTACACTACCATATACCGCATCTATACGCTACGGCAGGTTATACAGAAGACCGAAGAGTCTAACTTGCCTATATGCTTGACGTTCTTAGACTATGAGAACAATGAGAAAGTCTTTGAGGCTGGCTGAGCACGAGGGCGATTCCTCTGCAGCGAGCTGTGAGGCAGGGAGATGTAATAATACGTCGAATTCAACTCGGCTGGGCAGCGTTCGGGAAACTACATAACATCTTTTCGACCAAAACACCTCAGTGCCTTAAGACGAAAGTCTACAATCAGTGTGTGTTACCAGTAGTGATGACATACGGTTCGGAAACGTGGCCTCTTACTATAGGCCTTATAATAAGCTCAAAGTTGCACACCATAGTATGGAGAGTGCTATTCTCGGTGTTTCTTTTCGAGATCGAACCATAAATGAGGAGATTCGTAAACGAACTAAAGTCGGCTGACATATAGCGATCGGATTAGCAAGCTAAAGTGGCAATGGGCAGGGCACATAGTACGTAGAACAGACGGCCGATGGGGCAAGGTTCTGAAGTGGAGGCTACATACGTGTACGTGTTTGTCGGGAGGCGCTTTCTTCTTTTAACCAACTCCGGAACTAGAACCGGAATTCCGGAGTTGAGTGCCCAATATCGGAAATCAGTTCCGGAATTGAAAACCATCCGATATTGCAAGCCCTAATCCACTGGCCTCGACCAAACCGCAAGCATGGATGTACTTTAAATAATGTAGATTGGACTTTTCATTCAAGGAGGAAAAGTTTATTTCATATTCGAATGGACAAGAGTGCATTTACGGATTTTAAAAATATTACTAATTTGTTACTTACTGGGCATTTTACTCGTACAACAAAAAACATTTTACATTCAGTTTAAAACGCGATTCAATAATGGCTTTTATGACTAAGTGCTTTTTTCCTCTTGATACAATATTATCATAGCCTACATACTAATAAAGTTATTATGTAGTAGTTCTACATTCTTTCTCTGCTTTAAAATCTCATGTAGGTACTCGTAATAAGACGAATAACATTAACTTTATAAACGTATCTTGGTAGTTGCATTGTTCAAATTGGTATAGCTTTTCTTATACGTTAAGTATTCCGTTATTCATTGCTGAATTGTTTCTTTACTGCTCCGCCCCTATCGGCTGTAGGGTGATGTTATAAATTTTATGTTATTGCCTAAAGTCTTCTTAGATAAATCGACAAAATATTTTTTCAAATCGTCTGGAACTGCTTGCTCCTGAGATTAGCGTGTTCAAGCAAACAAACTCTTCAGCTTTATAATATTAGTATAGATTAAAACAAACACCTAGGCTAGTTTCCTAAAAAAAATTTTTTAGTCCGTCAATTTTAATATAAAAAAATATTGGACACGTATATTTTTAATTGTCAATCAAACAAATAATTACAAAGTTATAGTGCGTTGAAGTTC